TGAGCATGATGTCCCATGGTATAGAATACGCCATTGGCCAGTTGGATCAACCACCCCGCCTATGCTCCCCCCACCAGCTTCCCCTGCACTTGGCAGAGCATGGGAGGCTGAAAAGTCCCCGGTGCAAGCACCACCCAGCAACAACCAAAGCATCCATGTGCCATCAACACTCCTCTCATACCAAACACAAAACACAAAACACACTCCCAGCTACTGGGAAGAAAGTTAATTCTGTCCCAGCTGGAAGCAGGACAGTATATATGACGTTTGAATCAAGAACAGCCCTGTTTTAACCAAGAAACCATAGCACTATCCCAGTTCATGCTTCTGGAATGCTGAAAAAAACCAGCTGATTGTAGTAATTTGTTAATCATCTTAATCTTTAGGGGAAAAGAAGCAAAATACAAGTGTTACTTTGAAGAAACCTGCTAAGAACAGTTTAAACAAACCATGTGTGGTTCACACAAATGTACCATATGAAACTCACACGACCTTGGAATGTGAAAATGACAGCACCATTTTTGACAAACATTAATTCTGATTTAGTAGCAGACAGGGTAAATGATTTCTATTGTTTCTCACCCTTACAGTTTATGCATCTACGTTACAAACCTGTGTTTTTCCATCTGGTCTAACCCAGGGCCATGTTCCATTCTGTTTCAGAGCCTTTATCCTTGCAGCCAGTTTGTGTGCCAGGAGGACTGTTAAGGGCATACATTCTTCAGTTTCTTCAGTGGCATAGCCAAACATCAAACCCTGCATTGAGAAACAGGGAACTGCATTGAAAAACAGTGAAATAAGCCATTCATTTCCATGTTCTCTTTCCATTTCTGTGCCTGTCTTTGCCACATAGTACTTTAAAACCACCCAAGGCTAGAAAGAGACAGCAGTAACATGCAGGGTGAATCCACTTTGTAATATAACCATGAAATAACATTTATGTATCTGCATGCACAAGAATCAGAGCTACAGCAGGGTCTGGTTCCCAAGAATGACTCTGCCTTAAGTGTCCATAAGAATCCACTGCAACGACTTAATAGACAAAAAGCTCATAAAGACTGCTCAGTCTTCTCTCCACACATGAGAAGTAAAATAACAGAGCATTTGATGCCTAAGTAAAACCAAGCTACCTAAAAGACTTGAAAGATCAGAAACTAACACCTACTGACAAAAATATATATATACCTTAATTGTAGCTCTATCCAGTAAGGCCACTGGATATGGGAAAAGCCACTTTCACTGAAACTAATGAAGGCCGTGTTACTTTTTTCCACTTCCGGTAATTAAGAGAGTGGACAGTGTTTAGCTGCTAATTCTTACACTTTGCACAATAGCTTTTAAGGAAGGGCTCTGGTCCAATGCAATTCTAACTGCCTGTGCATAAACTAAATTTGAGTAAATGCCTGGAATTAAGCCCCATTACCTGATCCCCTGCTCCAATGTCATCGTCACTCTTGCCATAGGAGACAGCATGCTTGATCTCTTTACACTGTTGTTCTAAGGCCACTAAAACTGTGCAAGTCTTATAGTCCAGTCCTAGTGAAGGAAGTTTTGTAAAGTTAGGTCATACATTCTTGAGAGTTCACAAATTGCTAGAGAAGCTTTTAGGGATTATCTAGTTACCTTGACTAAAACTTTTAAAACTCTAAGCATGTAAGCTTCCTATACTAGGTTTCGTATTGCTAATAGAAGCAGACAATCAGCGCATTTATATAACAGTCTCAGGATGTGGGCAAGTTAGTGGTATTACTTGAAAGTTGAGTATTGAAACTGAGAGGTTAAGTATAATCCTAAAAGCTACCCCACCAAAGCTGGTTACATTGCTTATGTTGACTAGGGTTCAAACCACTTAGGTATTAAAGCTGGGAGAGGAGAGTGGAAAATGTTACCAGAGTCTGGTATTCAGTTTTTCCTGTAGTAGGTTATAGCGTTCAATAGAATTAGAGAAAAGCCATACAGGTCATGCATGAAATGGGAAGATTGAAGGGCAATAGTCATGTAAGGGGTTCAACTGCTGAAAGGAAGCTACTTTGGGAAATATATTAAGAATACATAAAGAATTCCCTTGGGTGTGAACTACGAGTTTCATAGGCATATGCACCGCAAGGACAAGGAACACCAGCATTAAAGCTTTCAGTGTACAAACCTGCAGATGTAACCACCTTCTGACATTTACGCAAACTCTAGTTCTTCTGCATCAGAGAAGCAAGAGGTACCTGGCACTTTCAAGAATAAGTATTTTTCAAGTATGCCAACTTAAAATAGTTCCTTTAGTACTAGGCACTGAAAAATGCATACCAACATCTGTACAGTTTTCTCCTAGGCCTGGATACATATTTAATTTTATTTTCCGGAAGATCATAAAAACATTACTTTGGCCACATGCAGAACAGAGTGAACACATGAAGGATCTCGCTCACCTTTGGAAGAGTCATCATACCCTATCCTCTTAAGGGTCTCTCTTACAATTTGTTGGTAATCTACTATAGCCTGGGATGTGATCTCTCCACAAAGCAAAATCATTCCAGTTTTTGCTACACACTCTGTAGAAAAAAGATAAAACATCAGAATCTTACTGCTACTATTTTACAGTTACAGATCTTGAAGATGGTTCTATGAACAAAGAATTACTCATAGAGGAAACTCAGTGTAAAGCCTTAGCATACATATAGGTCTGTGTGCAACCACTCTTCGGCTGTTATGAACATTAAAATGCCTGCATGGGGGGCGTTCATCTTACACAATTATCCTACCTCCACAGTGGCCAGCAGCAAATGTCTGTAAGAACAGATCAAGTATATAGTGCTACTTCTCCAAATACTTTCCTGGTCTCCAACAATTTCAGCTCAGGGTCTTCCTGAAGCTAAAGGGATATCATTTATTAACAGATGGCATTACCAGTCTTTGACAGATTTTTGTTACAGTAATTCATCCAGTTGCTCTTGGCAACCATGAAAACTTTTAGCATCTACAGGATCCTGGAGCAAGAAGCTATGCAACTTCATTACAAATTTTGTGCAGAATCATTTCATATTTTATTTCATTGTTTGTTTCAAGCATCCACCTGGCCTCCAAACTTTTCTGTTTTGTGTTAAAACATATAGCAAACAATCACAAAAAATTCACCACATCAACACAACCTACAACTGTATAGCTCTATTTCATATCTAATTCAAACCTCTCTTTTCCAGACTGAGGAAGCTTAGGCTACTCACTGAAAGACACTGTGCGGCTATGATCATATTTGTTACTCTTGCCGTACAATCTTACTATAGCCTTTTTTGGGATGGGGAAAGACAAACAGATTGCACACAGTATTCAAGACAGGCAACCATGGATTTATATGACTTAATAATGTTCTCCGTTCCACTCTTCAATCCTTTCCCAGCAAGCCCTAACAGTCAGCTTGTGTTTTTACTGCTACTGAGCACCGACTCTTTTCATAGAAACATGTCTATTACAACCCCAAAATCTCTCATCTGAATGCTTGCAGTGAACTGCAAACCTTATTTTCTATATATGGGGATAAGATTGCTCCCTTCCCCCTTGTATTAGCCTACACTGAATTTCATCCATCACTTCTATCATCCAGCCACCATCTTATTTGAATAATTTTATTTGGTTTCAAGATTAAGTATTACAGGCAGGAACATGCTATAAAATTGCACAACTAAAGACTGCAGCATCACATAAAGATAATCAAGCTAGCTTTAATTGGCAGCTTAGCTTAGATAACCCAGACAAACAGTTGAGAACTTAGCACAGGGCAAGCTTTCTCTATTTGTCTGCAAGAGGAATTAGTCTATATTGAACTATTAAGCTACGTCCTAGCTGGCATGGGATCTCTGAATTATACTGTGGACACAGTGAGAGTCCATAATAATATAGTAGCCCTAAATGTATACAGCAGATCAAGCCCAGGTAGTGATGTCACTACAGTGCAGGGTATCCTGGTATCATTTTTTTCACACTCAGTCTTGTGCCCCTGCTCTACTGACCAGCAGTGCTTTTCCTGTCTGCTACAACCTAGCAGACCACCTACATGTGTGAAGCATATATGGTGCTGTGAATCCTGTGCTGAGGGAAGAGACCCTATATTACAGGTGTGAGGCAGAAAAGAACAGCTCTCAGCTTTTCCAGTGTGGTCACTACAATAAGAGGAAGCCTCTCTGGAAGAACACAAAGTTGGGGAACTGGGGCTTAGAGGGATGGAAGAATAAGGCTGCAGTCACCACCAACAGTTCCTAGAAACTCTCCCAGGCCCATTACAGCCAAGCAAAGCTGGATGGTGATGCGAGACTTCATGGCATGATGATGCTTTTTTAGTATCAGGATAAGAGAGATTCATCTTGCTGCCTTTGACTGCTTCCCATCCTGACTGAAATTTAATTCAACCAAAAGAAAACACAGCTCAGGAGCTGCACTATAGCTGCCACTTATAAGTGAGCCCAAGGAACACCCCCATCTGCTCTACTCAAGAGAAAGTTACCATATGAAGTTTTGGGCTCTTCACTGGGGGTGATTTCTTACATGTTTAAGTCTCTTCAAAAGAACATTTTGAACACCATTAGTAGGTAACAACTTCCACCTTCTCTTTTGTACTGTCTTGGTTAGTACAACTTGGTTAGTTAATTTTCTGTCTTGAGTCTCATTTGTTGGGCGCGCTGGGAAGGACTTTTTTTTCAAGAAAGCATTTGGCTTCAGAGAGGAAGTAGAATAATTATTCTGCCTTCTGCTTTATGCTACTTGCAGCCAGTATTCTCTTGCTTGGCTTTACTGCTACCCAGTGTGTTGGCAGCACAAAGAGAGACCAGCTGTGTAAGTGCCAGTGTAATAATTCAGAACTTCGTATGCAAAACTTGCTGATCCTAAAAGTCCAAGCAGCAAATAAAACTCAGAGAACCACAGATACCTATTTCTACTGGTAGATAGAAGCTAGTTTCAACATCTCCATAAACTACATTTCATAGTTTTGTAAAATACAGTGTTACAGGAACTTAGCACTTACATAATGCTTTGAGATTTTTTTCTGAAACTTTGAGGCAAGGTCTGCACAACTAAACAGAAATTCTAATTTTCACCTGGTAAACCCTGTATTGAGTGCCATAACTGCTTTCTGTTCTCCAGCCCACTACTGTTTTAGCAAACTCTGTGTCTGGGCAATAGTTTTATCTTTTCCAGATTTACGCTTTAATGTTATACTCAAGTTTTCTGATTCCAGTCAGCAGTTTTGATTTTTTTTCCCAACAGATTACAGAAATCAGGGATTTATCTATGTAATCATGTCACATTTCAGTCTTCTTTTTTGGTAAGACAAACTGATCATGTTTCTCACATCTCTTACGACACATTTTTCAGTCCTTGTCATTTTTGCAGCATTTCTCTGTTACCATCTCCAGCTTTTCAGCAGTTTTGGAAGCATAACTGCCTGCAATACTGAAATACATGCTTCACCAAGTCTAATACATATGCTAAACCCTTCCCCCCATGTCTCCTCACTGCTGACATCTATGCATCAAGGATCACATAAGATTTTTCAGATGAAGCGTCATATTAGATCACTGTATTTGTGGGATGCAGCTAGTCCTCTGTGCTATAACTATGGCCTTGATGGCTTGTTCTAAGAACAAAATGACTGCATTCATAGAGCTCTTTAGAAACATTCCTTTTCTATGTCCATTCTCCATTGGCAACCCAGCTCATTCCAATTTGATGGTATGTTCTTACCCTCTGGAAGAGGTGATGTTGCTAGTTGTGGAGGAATGGTTAACAGAAAAGGGACATGATTTAATGTCTCTGAGCAACCCATGCTGTGAACAATAGGGACATAGTCTCCTGACTTTGCAAACTCACAGTCTTGGCCTGTCCTTGATGATAAGAAATGAGAAACAATGCTGCTGAAGTATTCAAGTAAAAGCAGAATTGTATCCTGAAGCAGGCGTGTAACAGGTTGCTTACGCAAATTGTAGTTTCCAATAAAGAATAAGCTTTAGGCGCGTGGACAGAAGGCTAGCACAAATCATAGCTGAGTTACAAGCGCGTGAACAATTGCATGTAACCAATCATTATCTCACACGAGGCGCATGTATAAGGTTGGGGGCTATATAAGTGCTGCTATAAGCTGTAATAAAGGAGAATGACCATACCCACATTGGGACTCATCATTACTCCGGTACCGCGACTCCCACTCCGTCGTCAGATACAGACCCGAATAAACTCCGGCAGCTAGTGACATCAGTGTAGAATACAGGGTAGTCCTAACAGAAAGCCCCAAGAAAAAGGTAAGCCACTTTGCTCCGAATCACATTCACATGAACTGTGCACTTACCTTCCTGTGAACCAAGGGCATCACCCTGCTTCTGTAAAGGCACAGTAAATATCTATTTAGCACTTTTGGATTTTGAGTTTTACTAACACCTTTTACTCACTCCACAAAGAAATGCATCTTGACATATTCTTCAGTTCTCTTTTTCCCTGATTTTCTTAGATTCTTCATTATCATTAGCCTTGTCAACCATAGTTTTCCCTGGATAGCACTGCTTCTCCTGATCTATTTCTTACATTTCATCATTTTTAATTTATACTGGAGTACTATGTATTTCCTTTTTTCTGTTCATTTTTCGCAGCTTTTTTCCTGCCTTCCCTTCTCCTCTGAGTCAGTATGCCAGAGTTGGCCTCTTTACTGACTGTGGAAGTGTTGACTGCCAGCCAGCTATTGCAAGAATTTTGGATCATGGGATGTTGTATCAACATAGATTACTTGTTGTACTTCATTAATCTGTTTTTCTATCTGTATTATACTTACCACAGGCAACTCTGGCATCTGGATCAATACTGAGATGAGCATCTAGAACAGCATCACTTATCTGATCACACATCTTATCTAGAAGACAAAAATAAGACAGATATAACATTTCTTTTTGTGATAAAAACAAAAAAGTGATTTCTTAATAAAATTTCATTTCCAGTGGGCAAGAGACTTCTGTTTATAGAGCATCTGCCAAGAGGCAATTTTAGCAACTTATATTCTGAAAGGTATGTCTTACCCTGTTTTCACTCTTCTCCTCAAGTCAATCCTAGCTGACATTTTACTATCATCTGCAAAGGCCAGCAGCCTCCCAGGTGAGGCGACAATGAAAAAGGCCTGCAAAGGCATCCTTAAGTATTACTTTAAGGAGAACAGAAGATACAAGAAGTAACTTTGGAAGAAGTATTTAAGCTAAGACATTTCTGTAGGGGTTTTGCATTCTTCCCCTCTTTATTTTAAACTTTGTATTGCATTTTCTGTGTGAATTACCTCTTTTGATCTACATCTTATCACTATCAGAGGTCTGCACTTAAGGCAGTGTTTATCCCTTCATACCTCCAGGGGGGACTTCTGAGATCTCATGTGTGAACTTTTTTGGATGACAAGAGGCATCACTCTCCCTGCAAACAGGTACATTAGATTGAAGACCACTCCTGCAATTATCCATTAACTATCCGGCTCATTTGAGTTTATAAAAGCATCTGCAAACATTCTCTAAGGGACAAGCATTGGCCACCCACAAGTTTCCACAGTTATATTTCTGAGTTTTGGTCTTTTTTTAAGGACAAAAGCACTGCAGAAAAAAGTTTTTACCTATTCTCTCTTTAGAACCTATGACTTATTGTCCAAGTAAGACCTGAGTATGCCAATCGTATTTGGTTTGTTAAAAGCTAATGAACAATTTAGGGGACAAATTGAGATTCTTTTTCTCATCAGGGTAACTTAACCAGGTAAAAGCAATCCATATTATTTCTTCAAAAGTACAGCTTTGAAAGGTTGCATATCTGAAGAAACAACATGAGGAACACACATTAATCTTCACCCACCATCATTACAAAAAAAGGTATCCAAAATGCGTTCAGCCACACAACTACACAGCTGGATCTACAACACTGTCTGTATCAATGAGCCAAGTGCGTATATGGTTTGCAACAGCCTAGATAATTATCTATGTAATTGCCAGTCTAAAATAAATTCTCTTGCAGGAGTGAGTACCATTATATATATGCAAGGCTTGAGGGCCCAAAGAGGAAGTTAATAAAGAAGGATAACTGAATGTCCACCTTAAACTACTTATTTAAGGGTAATCTGGTTTGGAAGCAAACAAAACATCAGAATGAAATTATAAGGTAAGAGTAGAATTATTCTGTACCCCAAAAGATCTGTAATTCAATGCAAAGTTTAAGTGCAAATTGAATTAATATGAGAAGTGTAGAGTAGTATCTTCTAGTATAATCTAAAAGCAAGGAAAAGTGAAACATGCTAGCCTGTAGCTTTGAATGGATAAACCATTGCACCATCAGTACTACCTCATTCAAACACAAACTAAAAACAGGCTAAAGCAAAGCACAAGTGCTAAAAATGTATGTGCCCCTTTTATTCACACAGGCTACAGTGATCTCAATGTCACATGAGATTTCCTTACGGAGGTGCACAGGTGTCTTCTTAACTGGCATAACTTTCAGAATCTCAATGAGCAATTTCAGTACCTTTATGTTTTGTTTCTAGTGTTTTCCCCAATTGAGCTGAAGCTAAACATTTAAATGTGCATTTCATAAGCATTTGCAAAGTAAGTCCAACAATTTAGAGGCTTGGAAAAAAGCAACAACAACAAAAAAGCCAACTTGATAGCTGTAAAGCCTGTCTTCAGTTATTTGTACTGCATTGATCCCTAGCTCAAGCATTATCTTACTGAAATAGTCTTGCTAGTATATTTACTCAGAGAATCAGAATCCTGGTCAGTTACTTAAGTTATATTGCACCCTCACTGATAAAAGTTGACCGCAGTTTGAAGACACAAGGACATAAGATGAAAGACAGAAACATCATGTGGTCATGATTTCAGACCCAGAAATCATTTATGCAATCAAGTATAAAATCAGTAATGCCAGGTTCCAAAGTTTGTCATCTGGCTAGTTTGTCAACAACCCTGAGTCCTGAAGATTGCGAAATTGATTCACACCAGAAGGTCAGATGCTGAAGCAGGACTGATAAGTTTTATTGCCTTCAGCTATTTGCACCATTACAACATACAGTGCAGTGTTTTAAAGCAAACAAGTGGTTGTGGTGGTTCAAGCTATGATGCTACATGCTGCAGTGGTCTTGCAGCTGTTGGGCTGTTCACTAGGGGCTGGACAGACAGACTAATATAACTGGTCTCATACTGTGCCATTCCCACCTAATGAATAAGAATCCCAAGAACACAGACACACAAGAAGAACTTGGTTGCAAACCTTCAGTGTTTGACATCACCCTCATTTTCTCATTATTAGTTTTTTTGTCTTTCCTCCTACTATGGAAAAAGTAAGAGGTAATGTTATTTTTAGTCTTAACATTAAAATGCTCCATTTGAAGGTTCGTCCGTAAAACGAACTGTTGCTACCTTTAATGTAAATTTGAGTCACTAGTATGTCTGCTGGAGGTCCAAACATCTTCCAGTCCATCAGTTAACATAGCTTCTAGATACATATTTGTGTAAACAAAGCTGTGTGAAAAACAGCTGAATTTAATGAACAGCCATTAGAGCTGAAGCATTGTCTTGCAGTCCCAGATCTCGAAAATACAACAGCCTACAGCATATGTAAACTTGTGTTAAGGAGAACAATGTGGCAAAAGAGGCATATGTACCATTATAGCAGTATCTGGAATGCAGCTCTGATGAAAATCAATGCTTAGTATTCCAAACGTTTCAGAGATTCAGAATTCAGTGATCACATACAATAAGTGTGTGGATCAAGTAATATTTTTTTATTACAGAATTTGAAATGAAGTTGTAATTACAGTATATGTGGCAGCTCCAAGTCTACCTGTTGAAGACCTCTCCATGTTTTTTTCTCTTAAGCAAAAGTTTAAAGTTGTCTACACTAGATTATATGCATACTAAACAAATAAGACAAATTCTTGTCAAGCAAACAAAGACACTAATATGAAGTCCATTCAAAATAATTAATTGATTCTTTCTTCTCTCCATTGGGGGAAATACGACTGAACTTTCTTCAGATAGCATTCTTCAGTGCAAGTATCAATAAAAGCAAAGATTCAATCAGCATTTTTACTTACCAGAATGTCCTTCAGCAACAGATTCTGAGGTAAAAAGAAATCGTTTTTCTTTTTTTGAGGTATGAATTGACATGTCTTGGTATCTTTAGCGAGCCTGCAAATGAGAAAGACCCAAACTGGACTACAGAAGAAGTACAGGCAGAAGGTGAAGTGGAAAGGTTAATGTATCTATGCAAACAGCTGATGTAATTGCTTCTGCATGTTTGTTCCTCAGAAGTTGAATAGATTAAGACTGATCTGTGTGGATTTTACAATGCACTGCTACAGAAACTCCTTTCATAAGACTTTTGTGTTTGGTTAACCTTGGTCCTGCTAAACTCAGCAGAAGCATTATCATTATGTGAAATGTGAACACAGCTAAGCCAGAGTTCAGTGCTTTTGTACACTTCCCCAAGCCTCCACTCTTACCCTTTCTTCTAAGTGCTAACTAAAAAGCACTTCGATATAGTAACACAGCACAGAGATTTTACCCGAATTTGTAAGGGCAAATGATGCTTTCTTCTAGGCATAATATCCATATATTGTACTCAGCTGCAGTAGTGAACTGTGCAGAAATGTATCTCTCTCTAGGTGAGAACAGATGCACTTAACAGCTCCAGGTGGTAAGCTGTGCTCTTCTGCCCGAATACTATTTGTGTCAGTGGCTAAGTGAGGAGCTGTAGAGCAACCAACAGCATGCTCTGTAGAAACAGCGATGAAGACAGTGCGTTCATTGTGAGTTACTTTGGATTCTGAGATTAAAAGCTATGCCCTAGCTCAATAAATCTTAAACTTGTCAGTGGTCAGGCTCTCGTAATTCATTTTACAGACCCCTTTTCTCCTACCACTTGCCTTGATGAAGAGATAATAGTAGGAAACAGCTGGACTCAAGTATCTGAGCCAAGCAAAGAAGTGCTGCCTCTTTGGAAGCACTGTTTGCCTTTGGCTTATTTCAGAACACAGTGCAACAGCACATCAGAGCACCCGAGTACAGCACACTGTCGCAAAGCTACCTAGGAACAACAGCAGGTGCATCTGGTCTTAAAAATCCTTGCCCTGCTGAGCAGCTCTGCACTGCTGCAATACATTATGTTGAGCTCAGCTTCTCTAAATCAGTAGTCATTTCTGAAAATGTTGCTCCATAATCTAAGCATGTTAAACAGTAACAAGAGTGGTACTGAGATGCAGGTACAACTTCAGCTATCACTGAAGGCTTTACTATGGGCCATCACAAGCAAACCACATACCCTACCAGGCCACCAGCAAACATCTCGCAAGAGATGTGTGTTCATTCTGCAAAGAAGTCTTCGCTGCTAGGAAGCAGCGTGCCTTCACTTCAGGACACTTCCCAGTAGTGAGGTATATGAGGTAATAAAAGCAGTAATGAAGGCAAAGCACTTAGGCAAATGAGTCAAAGCTAGCCCTCAAAAAAATAAAGAAAAATTGTATTTCAGCTGCAAGAATGACTTGGAGAAGGCACTGCCTGACTATGGTAACTCAAGTGGTAGCTAGTGTGCTGCAACAGACCAGTCACCCTCGGTGAAAACCACCACTTCGCAGAGTATACACGAAGAGGTGACTTGGTTGGAGGAAAGAGACCATCTGCACCCCTTTTGGTTTTGCCTTTTTTTTTTTTTTATCCTAGGAACAAAAGTTTTCAGCACATAACACCAAAAAACCACCAGTTCTGTGAGGACCACAATTGCTTAAGTATGTGGTGAAGGAGAGCAATAAAGAGGAAGACTTCAAACTACAGTTAATGATTATCAGAAGTGCCCTATGAAATCCATTAACTCATCTATTTCATTGCCTTTCTTTAGCTTCAGAATTTATTATGATACAATACAAAATTAAACTAGTCATACAGAGATCTGTGTGCCTGGAGGTATTTCAATTCTGTGAAATAAATACTCCTTGAGCTCAAGTTACATGTTCCATATGACACTTCATACAAAGCATAGAAAAACATTCATATGAAGAATTTCAGTCTCCACCACCACGAACTCATATTATGCTGCATTCTAAAATACTTGTGCTTTACATTGTGTCTTATACACTACTGTCATTCAACATATGCTCCTCAGCATGTTTTATAATGTAGGGTATACATATACCTCAACTCCAGCCTTGAATGTAAAAGAAAAAAAAAAAAAAGACAATACAAAGAACAGTCAACCTTTGTTAAGTGAGAAACCAAAAAAACAAGGCCAAGAGACAGCAGAGCAGAGGAAGAGGTACCAGGGTAGGAGAAATGTGAAGACAGGAGGACACTGGAGAAAAAGGAGGCACAAGAAAAGTTACCTGAGCAGGACTAGAGCAGAGAGACACCCATGCAGGGGCAGACACACAGAAGAAGACACAGGGCAGGTACGCCTCTGAGGGGTCTGCAGAAAGTGGAGGAGCCCATGCCAGAGAAGTGGAGACAGAAGCATGGAGAGGCAAAAAAAGCAATCACAACACGCTGAGCCCAATCTCGTGCTCCCCATAGCCTCATCCAAGGGACTGAGGCCAAGAAGCGGCGAGGAGAGGTGTCCAGAGGGAAGCTGGGGTATTTCCCCTACGTGATCTTTCGTCTTCTTTATTTTTCAATACTAGAATAAGTAATTAAAAGTTTGTTAATTGGCAATAAATTAAGTCAAATCCCCTGCAACGGAAAATACAAAGTTTATGATGACAAAGACACTGCCAGAAGAGTTTAAAAATGCAAATATTTCTCTGCAATAAAACCACTTTGCAACAGTGTTTGAATCACTTCAGTTAGAGCACAACTTGACTAGAAACTATAAGCCCTATATATTCCACATAGACTATCATTATGGTATGAACTAGAAGTGCCAACAGAATAAAAACCTGAACATAAACCAAAAGCCTCCAGTTCACAGCTCCGAAGGACAGAAGGCAGCACATAAAACCAACGCCAAATGGTTTGAAGTGATGGGGCAAGGTCAGTGAGGCTGGTAGAAAACAAAACAAAACAAAACAAAACAAAACAAAACAAAAACCAGAGGGAATGGAAGTTACTTTGGAATTCAGATTTGGATTTTAAAATTATTTATAAACAAAGCTGAGAATCTCCAGACGCATCTGCCTCTGGTAAGTGTAATCTTTGGTGTATATACATGAGCTGTAATGAGCTTTGGTGGCGCGTAACACAGCAACACATGATTTATAACACTATTCCTTCCTCCGGAGCCCAGCAACTCACGTCATCTGTATCAGCCATCAGCTTTAAGATTTCAAGACATCAACGCAGGCATTCCCAGATGTACGGAAAATCACCCTTAGTTCATACGTATTTAGTTACTTCCAACAGCAGCACGAGTCAGCCCTGGAAGCGATCTTCCCCCTCCCAGATCCGTGAGGACTCCCCTGACGAGGACTCCGCCGGCTACCGCCTCACAGAGGGCCGCAGCCGGGGGAGGGGGAGCACCGCTCCC